CCTCCCTCCAGCCCTGACACCAACCTTCCTCCTGCAGCACCCACCACCTCTCTGCTGGGCTCGATAATTCACTGCAGTGGCCACACAGAACTCACAGATTATAGGGTTTATTAGGGAAACTACAATTCAAGTTCAGGAAAAATGCTCAGTCTCTCTCAGCCCGCTGTCTCTCAGCCAACCATCTCTCTCAGTTTCTCTCTCAGCAGTGCATGTCTCTCAGTGTCTCTTTGCCAGCAGTGTGTCTCTCGGTGTCTATCTCAGCAGCATGTGTCTCTCAAGAGCACATTTTTCTCAGCAGCACATCTTTCTCAGCCAGCAGTCAGAGAGACTCCTTCTGCCTCTAGGAAAGCTCCTTTTGAGCCTGGCAGAGTGGCCAAACTAACCAATCATAACATTAGGATTCTAAACACCTGAGAGAGAGTGAACTTCCCAGAACATTGCTTTGTGCCACTCTCAACAGAAATACCCCAGGTGGATAACTTTAATGATGAGGAGCTACTCACTTGCTCAGGACAAATTCCACCATGGAGTTTACAAAGACTTATAGCTAGAAAAGCCATACCAGGTAATTTACTACACCACACTTGGCAAGAGAATTATAAATCATAAGGCAACCTCAAAGAAAAATAATAAACCTTCACATCAAAATAAAAAAGAGGACCAGCAAAAATATCTAGCAAATACTAAAACAATAGCAATAAAGGAAGTGATAACATGATTCATAAACAAAATGAGCTCAGCACAGAAAATTATGTGGAACAAAGAAGTCAGGAACACCACAAGAAAGCATGTAACAAAATGATAGCAACAAATTCATACTTGTCGATAATTACGTATCTGGCAAGGAACTTATCTTTAAAATTTGTAGAAAATTTCAACACCTCGACAACAAAAAGATTAACAATCCAATTTTAAAAAACAGGCAAAAGACATGAATAGATACTTCACCAAAGAGGATATTCAGGCGGCCAGTAAATACATGAAGAAATGTTCATGATCATTAGCCATTAGAGAGATGCAAATCAAAACAACAATGAGATACCATCTCACCCTAGCACTAATGGCAAAGTTCAACAAGACAGAAAATAACAAATGCTGGTGAGGAAGTGGAGAGATTGGGACTCTCATACACTGCTGGTAGGACTGTCAAATGATACAACAACTGTGGAAAACAGTATGGTGATTCCTTAAAAACCTGGAATTAGAAATATCATTTGATTGAGCAATCCTATTACTAGGTATATAGCCGAAAGAAGTGAGAGTCAAGACACGAACTATTTGCACACCCATGTTCATCACAGCACTATTTACAATAACAAAAAGATGGAAACAACCTATGTGCCCATCAACAGAAGAATGGATAACCAAATTATGGTACATACACACAATGGAATACTATGCAACACTAATGAACAATGGATGAACTTGGAGGACATTATGTTGAGTGAAATAAGTCAATCACAGAAGGACAAATATTGTATTAGTTCATTATCATAAGAAGTCAAGGAAAGGTTTATATATGGAAATAAACTTTCTTTGTTGATTACCAGGGGTGCAGGGATGGGAGGGGAGGGAAAGGAACACTGGAGGGAAAAAAAAAAAAAAGCACTGACCCATGTCATTTTAGTTTTGTGTATTTCACTGTACATAAATTATATTTCAAGAAAATGTATTTTTAAAAAGTTAAATGGCCATATTTCTACCAATCTATTTCTGAACTGTTCATTCTGTTCAAATGATCTGTTTCTATCCCTTCACCAGTATCACACTGTTTTGATTACTGTAGTTTTATTTTAAAGTCTTAAAAATTGAGTAATATAACTCCCACTACTTTATTTTTCTTTTCAAACTTGTTTTAGCTTTTTAGTTCCTTTACCTTTCCATGCAAATATTAGAATCAGCTTGTCTATACATACAAAAATTCCTGCTGAGATCATGATTGGTGTTATATCAAATCTATCAATCAATTTGAGGAGAACTGACTTCTTCACTGTGTTCCAATCTATGAACACAGCATGTCCTTCCATTTATTTTGGTCTTCTTTCATGAGACTGACACAAACTAAGTTTTTTTGTTTTTGTTTTTTGACCAACTATTTGCAAGAAGATTCTATGGTCTGGGGTGGGGGTGAGGGGTCAGGATTGGGTCCTCAGCTGCTTTTCATAACACAAAAGTTCTCTTCAGCCACTATGAGGACGTACTACTTCCTACAAATATGGTTTATCTATCTAATTCTTTGTATCCAGTGCCTTCCAAGTGAGTCTGTGTTGAGGAGGGACGTCTGTGGCCACTAACTCTTGTTTCAAACCCTCTTTTGCAGAAAAGGACTACTGTTTTTGCCCCTAACCCCAGTGTGCATCCTAATTTGTGCTCTCTGAGATCTACCACTGCTGGGCTCTCTCCTGTACTTATTCCCCTGGGGCTCCCACATAGCACAACTATTCTCTGGAATACAAGCATCTATTCCCAAGGTCTATTGAAAATAAAGTTAGAGCTTTTATTTGTGTTTTCCTTTGTTGACTGAGAATTATTTTCAGGAAAAGAAGATAAAAATGCTGAGTTCATGAACCCATATTTGTACCAGTCCATTCCTTTTTGGTAGAGGGAATAAGAAATGCCTGGGATGGGATAGAGGTCATTGGTAAACAGAGAAGACAGTAAAGAAGTAAAAAGGATGGAGGTAAAAAGGAAATAAGGGTCTCCAAAAAGAATGTTCTGACCCCAGTCTTTGTTACTCTAGTTCTAGTGGGTGATGAACAGGCTGCCTATCCACAATTGTGTTGTGATCTAAGGTGAAGCATGAGTTACGAGCAGCAATCTAATGTGGATTCCATCTCAGAATCCCTCATAGAAGGTTCTGTGAACAGGCAACAGCACCACAGACATAGCAATTCTCAGGTCTAGACACCAGCAGTATTATGTAATTGGAGATATACCCACACAAAATAATGATTGAATGATAACTTAATTCCCTTCATTTAGGATGCAGATGACACAACCTTGCTTGCTGAAAGCAAGAATGACTTGAAGCACTTACAAGGAAGATTAAAGATTAGTCTTCAGTAATGGACTGCACCTCATCATAAAGAAAACAAAAATCCTCACAGCTGGAATGAGTAACATCATGATAAATGGAGAAAAGATTTAAGTTGTCAAAGATTTCATTTTACTTGGATCCAGAATCAACAACCATGAAAGCAGGAGTCAAGAAATCCAGTATCATACTACACTGGGCAAATCTGCTGCAAGGGACCTATTTAAAGTATTAAGAAGCAAAGATATCTGTTTGAAGACTAAGGTACACCTAACTCAAGCCATGGTATTTTCAATCACCTCATATACATGTGAAAGCTGCACAATGAATAAGGAAGGCCAAAGAATTGATGCCTTCGAATTGTGGTATTGGCAAAGAATACTGAAAATATCATGGACTGCCAGAATAATGAATAAATCTCTCCTGGAGGAAGAGCAGCTTGAATACTCCTTAGAAGTAAAAATTTTGTCTCACCTACTTTGGCCATGTTGTCAGAAAGGACCAGTCCTTGGAGAAGGATATAATGCTTGGTAAAGCAGAGAGTCAGCAAAAAAGGGAAAGACCCTCAAAGAGATGGACTGACATAGTGGCTGCAATGATGGGCTCAAGTATAGCAGAGATTGTAAGGATGGTACAGGACTAGGCAGTGTTTCACTCCGTTGTGTGCAAGAATCAGAGCCAACTTAACGGGACCTAACAACAACAACAACAGGATGAAATAATCTGATTTACAGACTTATCATTTATCTGAGCTACAAAGGGCCAATTTTAAAATACTTGCATATAATGTAAAATGATTTTGTTCTAAAACAATATTGAGCAGTTGATTTTTGTTCATCCAGAAGACAGCTCCAGATTGCAAACTACCTATATGTCATCCTTAATGTATCAAAAAAATTCTGCTGCTTTGACTTTTCTGGATGCTGAATTCTGGAGGTAGCAGAGCTATTCATGAACATGTGCTCTTTTCACTCTAGCATTAAGTTTCTTAGGTGGATCAAGTGATCTGAGCACAAATTTTCTGGAAGACAGAGATGGTCAGATTTCCAAGTTTAAGCAGCATGCTCACCTGATTGTGAACCCAGAGAGCAGGAGGGTGGTTCGCATATTTCACTGCCAATTCTATTATTTTCTCTTGTTCTAGCAGTCTGGGGCTGGAGCAGATTGAGAACCCACCAACCACAGAAACTCCTGGAATAAAGAAATCAACCCTAAAAGGAAAGCCAAATAAATTATTATTGTTGAAGCAATTTAAAAAAAAAAATCTGTGATTTGGGCCAAAGTTTATAGAGCAAATTCACTTTCCATACAGCAGCTCACATACACTTTGTCTCATGACATTGACTATAATTTACCACAATGCAACAGCTCCCTTCCCACTTCCTCCCCATAATTACCTCTTCCCTGTGTCCTTCCCTCCCATGTACTCCTGCCCCCCTGAGCTGTCTCCCTGTGCATAAACAGCCCTTCTAGTCTGCCATGATTGATCTCTCCAAGGAGTGTATCTACCTAATGTAAATGTTCAGTTCATATGCCTGTCCTTTGTTTTGCTGGAAGCCACGGGTGTGGGTTCAATTCCAGACCTGAAGAGCATCTAGGGGTCATAGTCTCAGTGGTTCCACCAGCCTCTATCAGACCAGCAAACCTGCCCTCCCCCCTTTTTCAAACTGATTTTGAGTTTTGTTCCACATTGTTCTCCCACTCTATCCAGGATCTCATACATAGATTCCCCTCCGAGTGGTTGACAGTGGTAGCCAGGCACCATTTAGTTCTTCTGGTCTAATAGTCATATAGGCTGAGGATCTCATGGTATACCAGTTGCTTGGACTAATTGTTTCCACGTTTTTGGTTTTCTTCATTCTTCTTTGTTCTGGAGGATGAGAGACCATAGTTGCATCTAGATGGTGCTTTCAAACTTTTAAGATCCCAGTTGTTTAAGCATAGGCACTGAAACAAGGCGGGCTTGTGCTTACTCACTGATCTGCACTGAACACGTTCCCTTGTTACCCTACCGAGAGGGACCAGGTCT